CACCTTGGGCAGCTAAAATGAGTGAGGTTTCAGCTCTCTGACTATCTCAATAAACACAATTTCTGCAGATTTTTCATGTTTTGTAAATTAGTATAAGGAATACCAGTACAATACCTAGAAAATAGTGCATACTTAATCGGTATAAATACTTTAAATATTTGAGAGTAAGTCTAAATTAGCCCCTTAGTATTTTTGTATCCTTTGCCAGAAAGAATCAGCTAGGTTCTGAATTGAAGGACTAAAGCCTCTTAGCGGCAGGAAGTGAGAGAATTGTCAGTGATATCTTGGAGGAGAGAGGCCAGGTCATTGGCTCTGAAGAGGAGACTGGTAGCTTCAACTTTCTTAACCCAATTGGCCTCTATTTGCTGAAGGATGCGCCACTTAGGACATTGTAGCAACAGAAATGAGACCTATGAGTTAGCAAAGAAAACTATCTCATGCAAGAGAGACCAGCAAATTAAATGAAGAAAATGAATTAAAATAAAACAAATACAACTTATGGGTTTTTGAGTCTCTGGAAGAGAGAGAGGGCAACTAAATTAGATAACTACAGTCGAAATAAATAAGGAGATTCATGAGAGAATATATATATATATATATATGTATATATATGTATATAATGTGCACACACATATGTATATGTATATATGTATATATATATATATATATACACACACCAAGACTGCAGCTAGAAAATATACTTTTTAATTAAATAACTTAGTTGAAAATTTTAAAGGGAAATGCTGTCCCAAATTATAAAAATCTAGGATATTTCCATGAAACAAAAGTGTTTTAAAGTAGAGGAAAAAATAAAGAAATGAGGACCTGCTTTTATCTTCATGTACATACATGATTCTCCCAGTAAACTCTTGTGGCCTTATGAAATAGTAATTTGCCCATGAAGCTGTCCCTGCCAAACTTGGGAAAAATAGCCACTACCTATCCACTTTAACTTGACCTCTCCCACTAAAAGATGAACCTCATGAGGGAAAGGAATTTGTTCACCAAAATATGCACCATGTCTAGAAAAATAACTATATAGTAGGAGCTCAAGAATTATTTGTTGAGGACTTAATGGATGAATTAGTTAATGAATCATGATGAAGAAAGTTGCGTATCTTGGAATATAGATCAAGGGAATGTAACATGTGAATGATAGCAGCTCTAGGAGTAACAAGAATATATGGAGGCAAAACAATCATTAATCAAGTTGTAGAATATTTCTCTGAGTTGGAGAAAGTACTGAGTCTGCATATTAAAAAGGTTCTCTAGCCAAGCTAGATTGATGGATAGAGAAATACCTATCAAGCTGCAAGGCAGAAAAGACAATTTACTTACAAAGAAAAAATAATCAGAGTGACACCACATTGTTTATTTGTAATACAGGTAGCTGCAAGACAGTGAAATAGCATTTATAGCCGCAGAAACAGTAGAAAACATCTATGAGCTACTGAGAGAAAATACCGCCTTCCCCAAATATTTTACCTGACTGCTGTATATTGGTTGTTGAGAGAAATATTTATGTGTATGCTAAGATTCAGAAAAACTATCATTCAGGTCATGTATATGAAGAAAATAAGTATTCTTACTAAATATAAAATGGACTAGAATAGGGAAAATGTGTGTGCATGTTCACACATGCATGTACATACATGCAACATGTACTCACAAAGGTAAATCTAAATTGATAATGATATAATATCTGGATATTAAAAAAGAGCCCCTGAAAGAAATTGGATATCCAGTGGAGGAGACTGTATTTAGGATCTAGAAGTAAAATAAGTTATTTGAGCAATACCTTGTAGTGGGGAGGGAAAAAACATAGATATCAAAATTATGTATCCACATTGGTGAAATAATTAAACATTTGTTTGCAAAAAAATAGTAAAGAATGTGATTGATTATGTATCAGGGAAAGAGAAGGTTGCCATTAATGGAATGAAAATATTTGGTATCCTTTCTTAATTCTGAAGAAGAAAAGTGCAATAAATAACTTAAACTAGGGGAAAGAAACACTGTAAAATTATTAAATGAGAATATATTAATTATATGAAGAAAGTTACCAAATATTACTTGATACTGTAGTTTCCTTTCTGTTAATAAATGTCAACAAGATTTTCATCAATTCTTATTCATTCTGTCTCCTTAATGTCTCCTCTATTTTTTCTTCTCCACACTGCTATAGGATACATCTCATTTCTCCCGTATTGCTATCATAGCCCCTTCATTCGTCTCCAAAATACAGTCTTGTAAAAATTTACACCCATTTTAATGCTAAATTACATATAAATAAATCTAGGCATGCTAGTTCAAATTTCATTTTTTAAACTTCTTTCATCACACTTCAGGATCAATTCCAAATGGAATCCAGATAATGCACATGTTGTACCCAGTATACACTGAGCATGCTGGAGCAGGGGCATTTTCTAATTATGTTTTCCTCTGCCTTTGGGTTACACCTCCCTGTGCCAAGGGGCACAGATGGTGTTTTGGGGCTTCCTTCTTTTTAAAATAATATATTTTATTGATTTTTTACAGAGAGGAAGGGAGAGGGATAGAGAGTTAGAAACATTGATGAGAGAGAAACATCGATCAGCTGCCTCCTGCACACTCCCTACTGGGGATGTGCCCGAAACCAAGGTACATGCCCTTGACCAGAATCGAACCTGGGACCCTTGAGTCGGCAGGCGATGCTCTATCCATTGAGTCAAACTGGTTAGGGCTGGGGCTTCCTTCTTAGTATGTAGTGAAAGTGCTAACACATTGGCCCAATTTTTCATGATCAATAAACCCTATGTTTAAAAACATCTTTCTCCAAGTTGCTGCTGTCTAATCTCATCCAGCAACCTATAGATCTGATCTCATTAATGACTGAGAGATCTTCATTTCATTCATAGCCCTGACTCTCCCTTCTCTTTCTAAACCATACTCCAGAATAACATAAATCCAAGTTCCACAGATGTCCTTAGCTAGTCTCGGCCAGTTTAATTCATTCCCACTCATAAGGAATTCACCAAAGTTTGATATTCTAGAGCTTCCTTCTTCCTGCCAGCCTTACCCCAAGTAGGAAAGGGTAGAAATGACACTTTTCCTGACAAAGCGGTGTTTGGAATCATTTCTGGACCACTGGTTAGGTCCTCAGAATGAGAGAAGTTAGGTAAACATATCTTAACAGGTGGCATCAATGGAGTAGCAGAGTACAATAAACTAAAATTAGACTGTCCTTAATAACAGCTCTAAAACTGGTGATATGACCAAAGCAATACCAACAAATTCTCAGAGTATGTTTCTTCATTTATAATATAGTGGTAATAATATATCTCACATACGGATGAAAAAATAATAAAATTGTGTAAAAGTAATTAGTTTAGTGGCAGCACATTGTAGATCCTGAAAAAATTATTATTGATATAAATGAAAAAAATGATTCAATTATATATGATGGAATTTCAAAGGTGTGCCTTAAACTGTAGGAAAGGTAATTTATAAAAATGTTTTCCTGCGGCTATTTCATTTGGACTGTGTTAACAAGGCCGTTGGTTTCTTCTTTTATGAATTATCCTTTGTTCTTATAAGAAATTTAAAATAATGAATATATGGTACAATTCATTTCATTATTAAGTCAGCTTGTAACAACATAGTTTTAAAAAGTGTAATTTTTGGTCTTAATTCTCTAATGTTTACTTTAGAGAAACACACTGTCATTTATTTTAGTACCCCATTTTGTTTACTAAATGTGATTTAAAGTACAGGAATATTTTCTCAGAAATTAATGAGAGTGGGGGCAAAGGAAGCCAGAACACACCAGTATGTGTTTTTAACACCTTGTTGATTGCAGCTAATGAGCTGGAGTCCAGATTTGTTCCTTGTGTAGGAATGCCTGGGGCAGTCATCTGGGTCCTGGCTGCTTGTGGTGAGTTTCAGAAACATTTCTCCAACTGGAGCCAGTGTTGTGGCTGGACAGGTTCTTTCAGGTTCTTACTATAATTGTGAGGTGCACAGCAACAACCATATGGGAGCCTGAAAATGCAAAGCTTATTACTCAAAGGTCCTGGAGGATAAATAGCACCTTCAAGGGCCAGGCGGCAAGGTAGCAGGTAGAGAGAAAGAGAGCACAGACCCGGGATTCTGCCATTATTATGGTTGAGGGTGGAGTGCTTAGGGTTTCAAAAGTTTATTTTGTATCAGTGATTTTAAAACATAAGAGCAGAATTAGGGAGCGGGGAGAGGAAAGCAGGGTCACCGAAGTGGCCTGTTATCTAGGTTACCCAGGGCTTTCTAAAAGGGAGACTTCATGGATAGGGTAGGCCTGGCTACTTACTTATTTGTGTAGCTAGTAGGTGTCATATAGGCAGCCAATTTGTGTATTTGATCAAAATGGACGTCTTTGAAATGGGTGCCTCAGAAATCAAAAACTTAACATTAGGCACTTACATTACAATTAAAAAAAAAACAACACAAAAAAACCTTATTGTCATGCACATATACTCCAAGAGTGCTTTATTTAAAAATTAGCCCAAATATGACCATGCTATTATTTTCCAGTGTAACTCATGACACTATGTCTAAAATTCATGTGTATCATCAACTTCTGATAGTATGTCATCAGTATCTAATAGCTCTACTAAAGATTAAAAATCTCATGTGTCATCTTTTTCTTCACATTTCAATAATGGTCTCTTTTATTCCAACAGTTTTCTATAACCTATATTTTATTGTTAATATCTAGTTAGACCAAAATTGATTTGCTCTTAAATTCTCAAAGGCAATATGAAGACCATCAATAAAAATGTACTTTAATCCTTTTAAACATGTAAATCCTTTCTCCTTTGCAAAGGACGCAAGTATGCTCAGACAAAATTAATGAATGAAAATATCATGTAATAATATATGTTGAATACAATTTAAACAAAGCATTATTATTTTTGTCAAACTGTTAATACACTTTAGGGAAAATATTTAATTGGCAGCTTTTCTTATTTACACTGATGTATTTACAGTTGTATGCCAAGATTTACTGGAAAAAGCTGTGAGAAAGTAATTGACCACTGTAGACTGCTCAGCATCGACTGTCTGAATGAAGGATGGTGTTTCAATATAATTGGAAGATTCAGAGTAAGTAATTTAATACATGGCAAAGTAATTTAGCACATCAAAACACAATAGCTTCAGGCACTTTGTATTTCAAATGCTTTTATCAATATAAGACAGATAAATGCATCCTTATATGGGTATTTAAATATATTATATATAGTTTAGTAATAGAGATTTTTTTAAAAATGTATTTTTATTGATTTCAGAGAGGAAGGGAGAGGGAGAGAGAGAGAGAGATAGAAACATCAGTGATGGAAAAGAATCATTGATTGGCTGCCTCCTGCATGCTCCTTACTGGGATTGAGCCTGCAACCCAGGCATATGCCCTTGACCGGAATAGAACCTGCAATTCTTCAGTCCACAGGCCAACGCTCTATCCACTGAGCCACGCCAGCTAGGGCAGAGATTTTTAACTTAGAATTATGTTGGGAGGCCATTGATGTGTTCTAGACAGTGACTTTATTATGAAATAAGAGTATAACTAGTTGAGTACTGGTGATATATCTCTCTATATATAAGACCACAGTTACTAATGTCTTTTTTTTTTAATATATTTTATTGATTTTTTTTACAGAGAGGAAGCTTCAGTCCACAGGCCAACGCTCTATCCACTGAGCCACGCCAGCTAGGGCAGAGATTTTTAACTTAGAATTATGTTGGGAGGCCATTGATGTGTTCTAGACAGTGACTTTATTATGAAATAAGAGTATAACTAGTTGAGTACTGGTGATATATCTCTCTCTCTATAAGACTACAGTTACTAATGTCTTAAGCTCTTAAACCAGATGGGAAATAAAATTAATCTGGTAATTGTTAATCAGGATATATAAAAAATGAGTTTTTGGTTTTTTTGCTGGATAGTGCTTGAAATAATTTTACAAATCTAGTGTGTGTGCTACACAGAGGACGGCATATCCTATAATTCAGCAATTCTATTTTCAGGTATGTCTATTGGATAAATTATCAGGTTTGTACTGAATGAGACATATAGAAGAATTTTCATGCCAAATCTGAAACAAACTAAAGCTTACAGTGGGAGAATGGATAAATTTATCATGACAATATCATACCACAGAATTATAAAAAGTGGTTAAAATATATGAGCAATAGCTACATGAATTAATACTTATAAATACCAAAACATAAGGTTGACTTTTAAAATATTATTAAAATTATATATGTACAGTGTGATAATATGTAGTTTAAGTTTTAAAATTCCTATTTTTGCGGTTGCAGAAGTCTATAGCAAAGTGAACACATACATGAGAATTATTCATACACACTGAATTCATCAGAACTGCCTCCAAGGAGACAGGTGGGAGAGTAAAATCAGGGAGGGTACAGATGGGACTTACTATGTATCTGTAATGCTTTGTTTTTTTAAAAGAAATTGATTTTTTGCAAATGAGGATGGTAGGATTATGTTGTTTATTTTATTATTTTTTCTTTTCCGTAGTATAAAATATTTAAATAAATATTTTTAAAGATTATTAAAATCAACTTATGGAATGGATCATGGACAAATTTATATGTGTACTTTTTGTACATATATACTAAATGCAAGATTGTTACTATATAAGAATATATAGGATAAGAATATAACATTTATTTAGCAGCTATAATACCTTTGGCATTATAGCTTCTCATTTATGATTATGACCTTATTTGATCTACACATAAATCCCATTCCATTTTATATAAAAAATAAAATTTCTACTGAGCTTTTGAAATATTTCCTCTAGTTTACACATATCAATAGTGTTAGATGAAGCTAGATCTAAACCTCTTCTGTGTGACTTGAGAACACATCCTTTCAAGTACTGATACATACCTATTTTCAATATAAAGTATATACCACCACTTATTTTTCTTTAAAATTTATCTATTGTTTCCCTAATATGAAATTATCTCATTGAAGTGTCTCTCTTACTTTGGTTTGAAATTACTTTATATTATCTTGTTTATGTTTTGGTTTTTGGTTCCTGTTTTGTTTCAGGATGATCTCTGAGTTTTTATCTCTGACATTATTTTTAAGTTTTTCTTCTTCTAACAGCACTTTTCCCTGTGAGATCTCATCTATTCTAGTGCCTCAACAATTATCTATATGTTATTGACTGTATCCAGTTTGAATTTCTTTTTTTAAAGAAATTTGACTGGACTTTTCATCACCTTGCAGACTTTTCTTTTTTGTGATTCTACTTTAACTTTACTGACTCCCATTAGATAAAATATTATCAGGATAGGAATGCTATTAGCTTTCTAATTGAGTTAAAATTTAGGTGATGATACTGTACATTATTAAATGTTTTAACATTGTAATAATTTTTCAAAAAATACTGTCTGCCCTACCCAGTTTGCTCAGTGGTTGGAGCATCAGCCCATGACTGAAGGGTCGCAGGTTTGATTCTGGTCATGGACACAGGGTACATACCTTACAGTTACAGGTTCATCCCCACTCCATTGGGGTGAGTGGGGTGGGGGTAACCAATCAATGTGACTCTCTCACATCAATGTTTCTCTCTCTCTCTGCCTTTACCCCTCCTTTCCACTCTCTCTAAAATTCAATGGAAAAAATATCCTCGGATGAGGATTAACAACAACAAAAAGGCAGCTATTATTAATGGCACATAAAGCAATACTCAATCAAATGTTGTTTAAGAGGGTCTCATTTTATTTAAACAAATACAAATATATTTGAAAGTAAAGTAACAGGAAAGATATATATCACATAACAATTAAGTAAAATAAATACTGGTGTAGCTTTATTAATAATGTGGGCTTCAATATAAGGAAATATCAAAGAAGAACTTTGTTTTATAAACATAATTGGGTCAATTTATCAAATGAAATTATACATTTAGTAGCACAGCTTCAAAATATATATAACACAAACTGACATCCATCCCCATAATCATTCAGGACTTTATCATTTTAATTAACATAAAATGTCCCTTGTATATTTGAAATGACTTTATGGAAACAGTGAAGTCTATGAATTCTGTGACCTATGTGGTCTGGGGACAAATTAATATACGCAGCTATACACAGCAACAGAGAAGCAGGGAAACAGAGAGAATCATGGGGAAGAATGGCTTTGGGAATCACAGAGAGTCTCTGAATTAAAGTTGGAGCTAACTCAACCCCAGGGTTAATCAGAGTTTTGATGGCCATTGGGACCTGGATAATGTTTGTATTATACAGATATGTATAACATAAGCTAAAATGAAATAAATCAACAATTTGACAGTTGTTGGCTCCTGTAAATGAGATTAGACTAAAATTGCGGTATAATGATAAAAGTATTTTTGAATATACATTTAATTGAAGTAATATAAAAAAAGCATACTCTACAATGATTTTAAGATTAAGAGTTTATGTTAAATGTAACAGGCAACATTAGGGGTTAAAAGAAGAAAAACCCTGAAGGTTAGCACCTTATTAATTCTATGCCATGCTTTCCCTTATGAGTTAAATTTCTCAATTTCAATTCATTTTATTTATAATGAAAGTGCCATAAGGATGCTGAACTTTCTCATTGAGATTGTGATGAGGAATTTCTAATCAACACTTTCACAATGTCAATTGCATTTTCAACATTAATAATGTAAATGGTGCCCATGATAAAACAATTGTCACTTTCCAAATGAGAGTCACATTTCTAATAACCACCATATGAGAATAAATCATTGAACAAATTAAGAGCTCATGGCAAAAAACGGAATATGTTCTTACTATCATTTTTATGTTTATAAAAGTGAATAAATGACAGCCAAAGAATATAATTCATATTATACACATAAAGTAAACAAACAGACACTGCATTTAAGAACTATTAAGAGTGATGAAGGATTTCTTTTCCTTAGAGTTTTAATGATTTACTAATATTAATTTTCATAGATAATACACATAGTTAGAGCCACAATTTCTGATTTATATCTATCCATATATTTTATAAGTTCTTGATGTTATGACTTAGAATTCTTGGCTGCTTTTTTTTATAGCATCAAAGAAAATGCTATGAGAGTTTTATACACAACTATTTTGGTTCTCTTCTTGTGCAACTGGTTCAGAGATGCCGACATAAGAATGTAATTTATGTTTTAGCTCTTCTTTTTAAGTCTTCATAGGGGAGTCAACTGAAAAAACAACAACTTTAAAACTCATTCTAGTTTAACTTTACCATCTGTTTTATTTCTTTCTTCTATTTCCATCCTCTAGTTAATTTTCTTTTTACAATTATTTTCAACAAGTGTGACTTATGCAAACTCACGCTGAAAGAAGTAAGCTCAAATTAGTATTCCATATGAGTGAAATTTGCATTTGGGGTAGGATTTAGAGTTTTAGAATTTTAGTTGCAACAACAGAAATTTAAACAGAATCTCTCTCTCTCTCTTTCTCTCTTACACACACACACACAAAATTTAAACAGAATCTCTCTCTCTCTTTCTCTCTTACACACACACACACATACATACACACACACAAACACAACACATACACACACAAATCACATTATTAGAGGTTCCAGGGACTAGAATAGGTAAGCATTTTCCAAAAGACTCTCTGTACTCATATTCCTTCTAGCTCACACTAAAATAGCAACAGTGGCCTCTTTCAAGTTCCTAGAGGAATCCAAGCATGGCCCTGCCTGAGGGCCTTTGTCTTGAATATTTTGACATCAATTTCTCATTTGTGGCTTTATTCGTTCTGTTTAGGTATTTTCTCAAATTTTTACCTTCTCAATGTTTCCTTCTCTAGACACCTGATCTAAAATGTTAAAAACTCCCTTCTAGCCCATATGTGTCACCCTTCTCTATGTTTCTTCTTAACAACTATTGTCATCCTGTTTACCAGATAACAATATGCTTCTTCGTGTATTTTTATTGCCTATGAGACAAAAGTTAAGCTCTATGAAGGTAGATGTCTTTGTTTCTTTGTACTGGAGTAACCTTCCAGAGAAGGCAACAACATTCTAGCAATGGCAGGTTATGCCACGTGTACGTGATGGGAACCTATTTGAAGGAT